AGGTTCCTAGGCACACGGTGGAAACGAAGGCGTCATTGGCGTCGAAAGGGGCCATGCCAATCCCAACGCGCTCCCGCACTGGGCCAATCCCAACGCTCTCCGTGCTGGCGTTTGAGCAATGCAGCAGCGCGCCCAGCAGCAATGGGCCTTGCACGCGTGCCCTCGACCAGGCCTCGGGGCGCCAAGTAGCTAACTCAGCCCGTGAAACGTGTACGAAAATATTTTCTTGCACTTTAACGAATTTTGGTTCTACCTAGGGTGTTTGGATCCTCGCTAAAGTTTAGTCCTTCTCACATTGAATGTTTGGAGGCTAATTAGGAGGACTAGACATAAGCTAATTATAAAACTAATTGCAGAAACCCTAGGCTAATTTGCGAGACAAATCTATTAAGCCTAATTAATCCATTATTAGCAAATATTTACGGTAGCAGTATATTGTCAAATCATAGACTAATTAGACTTAATAAATTCGTTTCGCAAATTAGTTTCTATCTGGGTAATTAGTTTTGTAATTAGTCTATGTTTAATACCCCTAATTATTATGAAAGATTTGATTTTTGATAGGGCTAAATTTTAGCCCGAGGGAAACAAACACCCAAGTCGTGACAGGTTTTAAAAATAGATAGCGGATAAATAAAGGATCTATTAGAGAATGTATACTTTTTATCGAGAGCTATTTTTCAGAGAGCCTCTAAATCTAATATTTTGGATCTAAATTTTAGAGTCACCCCACGCGTCCTGGTACGCCGCGAGACATCTTTCGCAGCTCCTGCTCTGACGCCGCCAGCATTCTTCCAGTAGCCCCGCCCGTCGTGTTTTGGCCAAGCCACTGTGCTACTCCACGTCACCGTTATGTTTTATAGCTAAACGGTCGGTGTGAGACTCATAGAGGCAGATCATACATATTTAATTTCAGCTAAACTCAGGTGCCATATATCCACGGGCCTTCAATTGGCAAACTAAGTGGGAAATCCTTGTTTGCACGGATAACAAGGCAGGCTAGCAAGAAATCCTAATGCTACAAGGATTGATAAAGTAGATGGGTCATATTTGAAAACCTATATGATCAATATATACATACAACAGGTTGCAACTATTTTGATCAAACACTTGACAGAACTAGTAAACCAAATAGCTTTGTTCTGGAATTTTCATCGAAAAGATGTATTATCTTTTGTTAAACAGTCAGCACTACTATGAAATTGCAAAATCAAGGCTCTAGCAGGATGTGCAATCACGCCTTCTTGAAGTAGCAAAATCCATCTCTGGCAATTGCATCTAGTCCACAAAAACATTGACAATTTGAATAGGCAGCCACAATCTATGTGCTACAATTTACCATATTATCTCCTAAACAAATTGCACTGGCTAAATTGGGGCACCACTAGTATAAACATATTAGATAACTAGATCTCAAAAGTATAACCATCCTTGACATGCCTGCTATTCAAAAATACAAAAGGGGTCTCACCGAAAGTCATCACGGGGAAGAGGATTAATGCAGGTAGGATATACTAGTGGAGGGACGGGCTTTACTCCCGGTGGAGAACCCCCTCTAGTCCTGGTTCCCCACCCGGGAGTAAGCATCCGGGACTAAAGATCGGGTCGGTGCATAACACCAACCGGGACTAAAGGTCCTCCCAGCTTTAAAAAAAATAATGCCTCACACCGCTGCGTCCCGTAAGATTCGAACCCAAGACCTCATGCATTGGCTCGCGCGTAGCTTACCACCCCACCTACACAACACATCTAACAATGGATGGGATGCTTCCCTTTTGAACTAACCCATCGGGGGACCTTTAGTCCCGGTTGGTGTTACCAACCGGGACTAAAGGTTGGAGGACTTTTAGTCCCGGTTGGTGTCTCCAACCGGGAGTAAAGGTCCACCTTTAGTCCCGGTTGGTGTCTCCAACCGGGACTAAAGGTCCCCTGCCACTGTGCCGAGCGCAGTAGCCGTTGGGCAGGGACCTTTAGTCCCGGTTGAAGACACCAACCGGGACTAAAGGTCTCTCTAGTTCCGGGAGCAAAAAATGCCGGGACTAGAGCCCATTTTAGCCTCGGATAAAAGGTCTGTTCTCTACTAGTGATACCGAGACCAGCAGGATGGTTGCACCTGCTGTTGCCACCCACGGCTAGCCAGACTGAACATGGAATCCTATCATCTACCAACGAGGGTATGGGCAACGAATAGGCGCCAGTGTAACTGGGGCTTCTCATGGCACTGATGGCCGATTCAGATCAAGAGGGCGTGATTTGAAGGAGCTCGAATGTGGGAACATGGGGCAAGGAGAGGCGCGTGCATGAGAGAGAGGGTGAGCGGAATGCAGGAAAAAAAGGAAGGAGCGCGTGGGAGAGGGGATGCACTCATGGGAGGTTGAGGATGGCGAACAACGTCTAGTCGAGAAATCTACAGAGTGCAAATGCCAAGATAGCGGATCAGGGGGAATGGAGAGCCAGAAAGAGATGTCGTTGAGGAGGTTTTGTCGCTAGAATTGTCAAATCAGTGTTCGTGACGGGCAATGTCGACTCTGTTGGAGTCGCTCTTAGGCAATACTACCTAATAAGTGCACTTCTAGCTATGCATCAAGATATATAAATGCTGTCTAGATAGATAGCCCAAAAAAATATTTAGTTTTGGACGAAGAGAGTATATATCACTATGAATTCACCAAAAACTCAAATGCAACTACATGAGTGTAGCAAGCAAATTATATAACGTAATTCATAAATTAATATTTTATTTAACAAAATTTGTTGCTATTTAATGAAAATTAATAAAGATTTCAAATATTTGAGAAAGACATAATGCTTTATCTGTGTTTTTATTCACACAAAAAATCTATGTATTCCAGAGGGTGGCACATCAAACACGGTGAGAGTTCATGTTAGAAAAATCGAAAAAATCATTATGGATGTAGTAATAAATAATTTCTTGGTTAGGAAAACAGAACGGGCCATGACAATTAATCTTGGCTTCGTTCGGCTGGCTGGCCGGCTAGGGCTGGGCTGGCCAGCGCACTCACACCGGCACTGTGCACGTGAACAGTGTTTTCAGACAGAACAATATTTTTCTCTCACAACAATCAGCCGAAATAGTATTTTAGCTTATTTTTCAGTCCTGCCGAACAAGCTCCTTATGTCCACAGTACCAAAGCATAGCACCTTTGCAGCTCTCTCATTGAGCCATGCTAGTTTAGGTAGCGTTTGGTTGAGAGTCAAAGTGGGGTAGGACGGTCCTGACTCTGATTCGTGGGATAGGACGGCTCCATTTTCTGTTTGGTTAAGGAGGGATGGGACGAACCCGTTTTCTGTTTGGACCGGAGACAGTAAAAGTGGGATTAGCGACTGACAGGTGGGACCCAATTGTCAGTTTTTTTTTTAATTTTTTCTTCCTTTCTCTTTCCTCTCCTTATATCTTCGATCCCAACCGCCCACCTTGTCTCCTCCGCTGGCGCCTGGCTTCCCCAGCGAGCTTGCCCTGCGCCTCCATCCAGCGAGCTCGCCCCGCGCCTCCTTCCCCCGAGCTCGCCCCGTGCCTCCTTCCTCCGCGCTCGCCCCGCGCCCACGAGGCGCCGGCGCTCGGTGGCTGGCGAGGCAGCGTGCTTGCGCTCGCCCACGAGGAGGCCCGCGAGGCAACGTGCTTGCCCCGCTGGGTTCCTCCATCTTCGAGCTCCCGCGCGCCCGTCCTTCTTCCTCCCATCCTTTCCCCAGCCGCCATGAGGCTGAGCTCACCTGCCAGTGGCATGGCGGCAAGATCTCGGCTGGCTCACCGGCAAGGCGTCGGGCCGGGGCGAGAGCAGACTTGACGCAGACGGCGGAGGTCGCCGGGGCCAGGGGCGGAGGTCATCGGGTCGGGGCGGAGCCTGCGCGCTCGCCGGCGGCCAGGTCGGGGCGGAGCCCACGCTTCTTCCTCGACTCCGGTGAGTCCCTGCTTCTTCCTTCTTCCTCAACTGCGGCAAGCCCCCGCTCCTCATCTCGTTCTTCTCACACACGCGTGCGGGCCATGCAGCACTTGTCCCACGAGGACCGTCCCCGTCCGCTCTTTTTTGAGGGGCGAACCGCGCCCGGATCTTCAGCGAATATTCGCTCGTGGGACTCGGATCAAACAGCCCTCGTCCGGGGTCCCGTCCCATCCCATCCCATCCCTCCTTGTCCTAGCATCCAAACACTACCTTAGTTTATTGCGGTAGCTAGAGTTAGCCAAAACCATGGCCACCAATTTGATGACGTCCCAAAATTTAGCCAGACACGCACGCACGCCCAAGATTTGTATATAATATAGGCCGAGCGTGCTTTCGCGCCTACGTCATTTCGAATCGAGAGACGACGACCCGCCAGCAGTTGTGCAAAATTTAGCCAGGTAGGCTGGACATCGGACCAAGCAGCGGTCTGGCCCACGCTGGCGCGCACGACCCGGTCCCCTTTTTCGCTTGCATCGGCCGGCGCCGGCGCCCGTACGCAGCACGCCGAGTCGCCAACCCACCACGGTCCCGTGTCAGTTTGGACCGTGCCGCTTGCCAGCGACCGGGCTTGGCTGCTGCGGCGCTTGCAAATATCGCCCGGCCGTGGTCCGCTCCTCCCCACCCCGCCACGGGACGGGACGGGAGCAGGACGGGCTCCCGCGCCCGTGTCCTCCCGCCTCCACCACCTCCTCCCTCCCATCCCACACCCACCCCAAATTCCGCGGGGCACCCCCGCAATCCACACCCACCACCCGCCGCCGAGCCCGACAACGCCGCCCTTCCCAACCCGCCCGGAGAGAGAGAGAGTCTTGCCAGAACAAGTCGCCCTCGTCACAACCAAATACTGCATCCTGGCAGAGCGCCAGAGCCCCGTCTTCCCTGCCGCCGCCTTTCACGCCGCGCCTCTCCCACGGCCACCCCCGGCGCCTCCTCGCCTCCCCCCGCGAGCCCACCCCCACCCCCGCGCGCGCGCCTCCCCCAGCGGATGCGCGCGTGCCCGCGCCATCGGCGGCGTCGTCACCCTCCTATCCCGCCGCGATGGCAGGGGAGGACCCCGCCGACGCGTGCCCGCTCTGCGGCGGCGCCGGGCCCCCTTCGCGCGTCGCCCTCGCCAAGCGGGCCCCGCCCGCCGACGCCACCGCGGTGGCGGTGTCCTCCGCCTCGGTAATCGCGTCTGGCGGCGACGAGGCGTCCGCGCTCCGCGAGGCGCTAGCGCGGCAGCGGCGCGGGGTGGCGGACCTGCAGGCGGAGCTGGAGGCGGAGCGGGGCGCGGCCGCGGGCGCCGCCAGCGAGGCCATGTCCATGATCCTGCGCCTGCAGCGGGACAAGTCGGAGGCCATGATGGAGGCGCGCCAGTACCGGCGGTACGCGGAGGAGCGGTTCGCGCACGACGCCGCCGAGGTGGGCGCGCTGCACGACGCGCTCGACCGGCGTGACGCCGCCGTCAGGGCCCTCGCCGCCAGGCTCAGGGCGTGCCAGGCGCGCCTGCTCCACCTCGGCTTCCCTGCTTCCCCGTCCTCGTCCCCGGCCTCGCTCCCAGCCTCCCCGACTGCGGCCGACCGCCCCTGCTCCGACAACTCCGACTCCGACGACGGCGACGGTTACCGTTCCGTCCAGTGCCTCGACCACCCCGCCGACGTGGGCACCCCGCGCAACCACCACCTGCTCAACAGAATTCCCAGCCCGGACGACTCCGACAAGGCGGTCGTCATGTTCGGCTCCCCGCGGCGCCGCTGCTCCTCGCGCCACGCCCGCACGTTCTCCGGCGGCGACGGCGTCCCGTACGACTGCCGGATCGCGTTGGCCGACGAGTTCCCTCTCTTCACGGACCGGGACGCGCCGGACCAGGACGACGACGAGGAGGCTGACCGGGTGTACACGGTGGACGCGGTGCATGGCGTGCCCGTGATGGCGCCCGAGGATTGCTGCTACTTTGGGACGACGACGAGGGAGAGCGCTCGTGCTGGAGCTGGGGGCTGGGCAGAGGAGGACGAGATACAGAAGCTCAAGGCCAGATTGCAGGCGTTGGAGGCAGATCGGGAGTCCATGCGCCATGCCATCTTGTCCATGGGAGATGAGAAGGCACAGGTTGTTCTGCTCAGGGAGATCGCTCAGCAACTCTGCAGGGACGCGGCGCCATTCCCGGCTGTTCCGCTCAAGGTGCAGCCAAGGCCACAACCAGTTGTGATGGCACAGAGGAAGGTGGTGAAGAGGCAGTCATCCTTCCCTAAGGTCTTCATTGTAACTGTGATCAAGGTAAATATGTGCGGGTATTGTGTTTCTCTGTTTGATTGCTTCGTTATAGTTCTACTGAGTTGACAAGTTATTGTGTTCCCAATGTAATGTTTGCTTGGAGGAATATGTGATGTAATTTAGACATGCATTAGAAAGGATAACGTAATATGCAGGACTCTAATCAATGAGCTATCTGGAACACACTATTGCTTGATAACATGTGAAATCATAATGGGTGCTCTTTTGTATTCCCTGCATTTTGGCGGTAACTTGTTCCTATTTGAGCTTTTGGTAAGTAATTTAATGGATTCGGCGCTGTTACAATTGGAACGGACGCACTATTTTTTTAAAATGCAGAAATATGCATACTTTTTTCCTCCCCTGAAGGCAGTAATACCTAATACCTTGTTTTATGTGGAGATTAAATTGAAAAAGTGGACTGGTCACTTTTTTGTTAATCTTGTCTTGAAGTGTCCATGATTCTCATTTGGAGCTTATGTTTTGTAATACATTATTATTCTTAAATATTTGACCTCTTAAAACTTTAGTGAGTGCCACCGTTAGAGATACAGATCGCTACTGTATGTATTCTGTTCAATAAAATGGCAGTATTACTATGTACCCACATTTATATATCCAAATTCTATGATTGTGCTGGGAAAATTAGTTGTTTGTGATGAACTTGTGGGTTATGAACCTGTGGTTATTCATGCTGTTGACAATCTGTTGTTTTCTTGGGATGCAAAAACTGCTATACTACAAATGTACTTCATTTTGTAAAAGAAATTCTCCAGCTACATGGGCATGACATTCTTGAACTTTGAAGAAATCTTAACATTTTATAACCATGGTAGCTGTGGGGACTTAACACAGTTACTTAAGGTCTCTGTTTATTCCTTAAAGATGTGATGTGCTGCAGCAGAAAGATTGTGCAATGGTCAACAGATGGTTCATCATCCTTTCACTTAGTTCTCTTGCGAAACTCATCTTCCTTCTGTATCTCTTAACAAGGAATCTTCCTTTTTTTTTTATTACAAGTCTTCCTGAAATATTTGAGATAATGCCCCTCAACTGCGCGCCCGCGTGCACACACACACATATAAATATGGAAAAAACTTATGCTGTCGACTTTACGAGGTTATTAATTACTGTTATTTGACTACATCTGTTGCACCCTATCCCAAGTGTTCATCCTTTGTTGTGCACTCACCCAGTACTTCAGCATTGTATAGTGCATCGTACCTTAACTAGAGGTCTTGGTCATGTGTGTTTTCCTGTATTGGTTGAGAACAGGGAATCAATTTTAAACTTGGTTCTTCGATTATTTTACTGTGCCAGCTGCCAAGTCTGCTACCGGATGCATTGGAAACAAAGGAAAACATGTGATCTTAGGATGTCCACATGGTAGTCATCCACCAGGATTGGGTTATAATTTATAACTGATGGTTGACTAAAAAAGCATGAGTTTTGACTTTTTGACCACATTACGCTTAATTTACGTGTACTGGTCCCAGCGTGTTGTCTTGTTCTGCTGTGTAGATTGTGTTATGGATATTTACTTTAGTTAAATTATTACAAGCTTCCATTTCTCTGAGCTTGGACTAGAGACATTAAATGTAATTCATATCACACCATTTGATTGTTAGCATCTAGCAAAGATTAGTGTTGTACATGATTTGTTTCATTGGCACCAACTTATTTATTGCTGCCTTGTTTGTTTTATGTGCCATCCAGTGGGTTGTGTCTATCTTTTGCTGGCGAAGGAAATCAAGTCGCATCAGGTAAGTTGCCAAATCTTGCTCCATTGTCTGATCTTTGGGTGTTACTTTTCTGCATTTCACCAATGCTTGGTATAATGGCAGGTATCCCATCGGGATGTGTGGGAGCAATGTCGGATTGATGCTGGTACTGGATAGGTTCTCCAAACAGAGGCAAAAGAAGATTCCTAAAAGGAAGCTAAGTGCCTCCACTCTCTGATAATCTGAATACATGCGACCTAGGGAAAGCTGAGTCGTGCCTCTGCGATTATCTGACCCGAATGAGCAGTTCTCTGAACATAAAAGCTGGTTTTGTGAAGAAGCGATTGTTGTTGCACATCGTTCCAACCATTTTTTTTCTATGCATTCATTGGTTGATTTGTTTTTTTGGCAGTCTAGCTAAAATGTTCATATCCTCTGTGTTTTCTTTCTTCCTCTGCCTGTTTTTTTCTCCATTTATTGTTGATATTCCTTTTTTTGTGCAGTAGTGTCGAAAAGCGCATTGTAAATAAAACACGGACCATTTTAATCATTAGCAGTAGAAAGTTTTGACACATCAGCAGAGTTCTTTTTTTTCTTCTTTTCTCTATGTCACCTTTTCTCCCCCTTTTGTGGAACAAAATCATATTGTGTTGTATTGTAAGCAAATTTCAAACTGAGTAGTTTGTTTTGTGGGAAGTCTTTTCTTTTTTTAGTTCAATGGGAACAAGTTGGTGTAAACTTGAGGTACCATTTTAAAGAGAATTTGGGGAACCAACTTTAAATGTCTTGGATATATTTAGAATCTTAGCTGGTACTGTCATCAATGTCTATAAACCATTCAGAGTAGCCTAATATATATAATCACTTAACTAATGATCCAAGTTGCTACTAGATATTTACATAAGTTATAATTCATCTGAAATTTCTATATGTAATATTCATACAAATTGTTATAAAGTACACCCAATTTTATATCTTATTCTGAAATATATGCCATATCTTTAATAGTTGCAGTAAGTTACGTATATATGCATATATGCTAATGGGGTATGCACATAAGTAGCTCCTGGACATTTCATGAAAAATGTTGCACACATCCTGTCAAACTAATTGTTGGCTGTACAGAAAAAAAAATTCTAACTGGCATTCAGCGTGTAGTTTTCTATTTTTGGGGGCCAATATGGTTTAAGATTCACTACTAAAATCTTTGCGCCCAAAATGATTATTTGCCACATGAACTGAGCAGATCTTTGTGATGCCAGAATTTTTATTTTAGTATCGGTTTTCTTTTGTGGGCAAGGCGTGATGCTGCCTTTGGTCAACTAAAAGCACCGAAACATGTTTCTTTTCTTAACCGCTGCAGTTTACTATGTGTCTATGTGCATAGTGCGATTGCAAATGCAAGTGGTGACACAGACGTGTCAATTTAGTTTTGCTTTAAATTTTATTAGTTAAATAAATAAATAAATTGAATTTTGTGCCGGCCTGGTAAGCCAAGGAAGGTAAGACTTGCGTTCTAAAATGTGATCCACGCTGTGCTCGAGTGACAGATTGTACTGTCAAGAATTTTATTTCTGAATCCTAGGACAAAAATATAAGAATTGACATCAACGGGGGGAAAAAAATGTACTATAGCAATTAGAACATTTGGATATTACTCTTTAGGTAACGCGCGACCCAGATGGACCTAATGCATTGAATGTAACTTGTACAAGCAAAGCCAACGCACCCGCTTTTTATTTGATTTATTTACAGAACAAGATTAGTGGCAGAAGCAGGGATTAGGCACACATCGATCCCTGAAACAAACCGACCGAGGAAACGAAAATTCATGCAGAAATCGAGGGCAACCAGAAACACGAGACATGCAATCTCCATGGCTCATCACTCATCGGCGCGCCGTTTGTCTGTCCGTCAAACGATGTCATCACCAACGGGCACCACCGCAGTGGCCGATTTCGCTGGCATGGGCGTCGCCACCAGACGCTGCTGTTCCTGTGCCGCTCCGGCGTCATGTCTTGGCTGTGGCGTCGGGGCGGCGGTTCTTCTTCTTACCTGTGCCGGTTCTTCTTCCATCTCATCCTCATCCGTGGGTGCCTTTACCAGATCTCCGGTGTCCCCAACCGTGGGCGACTCCGGCCTCTGCATCTTCTCCGGCATGGTCTCCATCCCCATGTAGGACAGGAGGAGCCAGACGTAGGAGAGGTACTCGCCGCCGTTGCCCAGGCTCTTGGCGTGCAGGTACCCTCGGCACCTGCCGGCGGAGAAGCAGAGCATCTCCACCCACACTCCCTGGATCACCGCCCACATCTTGTCATCTGCGTGCTCTCTTGCTCGAATCATGAGCAGCCCCTCATTCTTGGTTATAAGATTCCTATCCACGAGCTCCGCGAGCTTCTGATTCTCCTCGTCCACCAGCTTGATGGCCTCCCCTGCTTGCTTGGAGAATTCCTTGGCCGCGAGCACCGACTTCTCCTCTTCCTTCCATCTTGCCTCCGCCGCCATCTTTTCCTCGTTGTTGACGAACTCCTCTGCCGCCTTCTTGGCAGATTCCAAGAGGTATGTGATCTTCTCCTCCTCGTTGGTTTGCTTCTTCTTTTTCTCCTCGTTGATGAACTTGTTTGCCCCGTTGATGAACTTGTTTGCCCCGTTGATAAACTCCTCTGCCTTCACCTTGGCCTCTGTCCTGCCATCCATGAGCAGCTGGATGACCTCCCCTGCATTCTTGGAGAATTCCTTGACCGTGACCACCTTCTTCTCCTCTTCCTCTTGCTCGGTGCGCATGCAACTCACGACCTCCGCCTTGGTTTTCTCTTCCTCGATCTTGATGAACTCCTCTGCCTTGTTCTTTGCACATTGCAGGAGCTCCGTGATCCTCTCCTGGTCCTTGGTTTGCTTCTCTTTGATAAACAACTCTGCCGTCTCCTTGGCCTCCTTCATGACCTTCACGAGAATCGACTTGCCCTCCATCGCTTCCTCTGCCTTGTTGCTTTTGATGATGAATTCGTCTGCCTTCTTCTGGGCAGAACCCATGACCTCCATGAGCTTGTTCCAAACTTCGTCTCTCTTCTTGTTTTTGACGTCGATGAATTCGTCTGCCTTCTTCTTGGCACAGAGCAGGGCCCTCATGACCTCCTTCCTCTCATCGATGAACTCCCATTTCTTCTCCTCGGCAAATTCCATGAGCTCGTGGGCGACCGCCCAGGCTTTATGGACAAGATCTTCGGAACCAAGACCGATGGTGCTCTTCACCTTCTGGATCACCTTCCGCACCATCTCGTTCTTGGCCCTTGGTGGAGGCGCCTTCTTCTCCGTTGGCTCGAGCTCTATCGCTTCCTCATCCTCCGGCGGCGGCTTGAGCATTTTCCTGAGCTCGTGGTAGGTTGCCCTGAAGAGCTTGCTCCTGGCGCCGGGGATCAGCATCTCCGGCTCGACGAACAGCAGGTAGGCCATGTAGTTGGACACCATCCTGCTGTGGCGGGTGGCGTCGTTGCCGGTGTCCACGTGGTCGAAGTAGCAGAACTCCGTGGCGAGGTGCCAGAGCAGGACGCTCTCGTTGAAGGGCATCCGCAGGCTCTCCTCGATGGCGCTCCGGCCGACGCATCCCTCCCTCTCCAGTGTCCGCTGGCCGCGGCTGTCGTTGAACAGCCGGTAGGCTCTCACACCGTCAGTTAGAGTTGGCTTCCGCTTCCATCCGCCGGTGGCGGCGTCGCGCTCGTACAAAGACTTCCATATGTAATCCTTCCACCCAGCGGCGACGTGGTCGTAGACGAGCCTGGTGATGCCGAGGGAGGGCTCGGGCGGCGACGTGCACCAGAGCCGGTCCAGCTGGAGCCTGGCCCCCAGAAGGCGCGCCAGCGCCGAGAACCGCGGGTGCTTCTCGCCGCGGGCGAGGTAGCCGAAGAGGTTGTACTGCGCGAGCTGGTCGTCGGGCTTCGGCAGGCCCGACCCCAGCACCAGGCACGCCGAGACGAACTCCAGCGCGGCGGTGCAGCAGAGCAGGACGTAGGTGACGACGACGTCGGCGCGGTCGTACACGCCACGGTGGCTCCTCTGGAACAGCCCGATGTCCACGAACGTCAGCAGCACCACGGCGGCGCGCAGCAGGCCGCCGAAGCTCGCCTTGTGCTTGGTGTAGAGGCGATCGAACGCCTTGGAGAGCGACGAGCGCACTAGGCCGTGCACGTCGGCTCTCGCGGTGCGCGGCGCCACGAGCCGCAGGTTGCTAAGCCGGACGGAGTAGGGGTGGCCGAGGTCCACGAGGAGGTGGTACGGCTGGTCGGCCACCTCGTCCTCGAAGAGCTCCAGAGGCTTGGACTCCAACGTGGCGACGCACTCGGCTGCGGCCTGCACGTAGTCCTCCTGCGAGTAGATGTCCTTCTGCACCCCGTCGTCTTCCTCGAGCGTTCGGTCCAGCCGTGGATCGGAGGAGTTCATGATGCTCGTCACCGTCGCGTTCTTGAGAGCCCATGGCTTCTCCAGGCACTTGAGGATCCCGGGGACGAAGAGCAGGATCGCTGCTCGCAGCAGGATCATGTCGCCTGACCACCATGACTTGCGGAAAACGTAGATGGCTACGGTGATCTGGGACATCCATGCATGGGCAAATAATGTGAGACATCTATATACTTCCTCCGATTATCTCCACTCTTTTCCATTTTTTCTAATATAATAAAGCGCCCACTAGCTTAAGATTCAAACTTTATCTTTGGTCAACACTTGTATATTCAATTTTTTTTCAGATTATACTTCGTGCAGGCCAGTTTATAAGGCGCACACATGTATCAAGGTCCGAACTTTATGAGATATTTGACTAATGGTTTAGTTAACAATTTTTAACTGTTGTATATTTGTAATATAAACTTGATAAATTTAGATTTGTAATCACATTCACTAGTGGAGGGACGGACTTTACTCCCGGTGGAGAACTCACTCTAGTCCCGGTTCTCCACCCGGGAGTAAGAATCCGGGACTAAAGGGGGTCCTTTAGTCCCGGGTCGGAAACCGGGACTAAAGGGGACCTTTAGTAAAGGGGACATTTAGTCCCGGTGCATAACACCAACCGGGACTAAAGGTCCTCCCAGCTTAAAAAAAATAATGCCTCCCACCGCTGCGTCCCATGAGATTCGAACCCAAGACCTCATGCATTGCCTCGCGCGTAGCTTACCACCCCACCTACACAACACATCTAACAATGGATGTGATGCTTCCCTTTTGAACTAACCCATCGGGGGACCTTTAGTCCCGGTTGGTGCCAACCGGGACTAAAGGGTCTTGGTATTACCAACCGGGACTAAAGGTTGGAGGACTTTTACTCCCGGTTGGTGGCTACAACCGGGAGTAAAGGTCCACCTTTAGTCCCGGTTGGTGTCTTCAACCGGGACTAAAGGTCCCTTGTCACTGTGCCGAGCGTAGTAGCCGTTGGGCAAGGACCTTTAGTCCCGGTTGGAGACACCAACCGGGACTAAAGGTCTCTCTAGTCCGGGCGCAAAAAATACCGGGACTAGAGCCCATTTTAGCCTCGGATGAAAGGCCTGTTCTCTACTAGTGATTTACTATCCAATAATTTTAAAATTACAGTTATAAATAATATAATAAATAGTTAAAGCATATTTTGAAAAAGCCATGCTATATCTAATTATGTCTGATAAACTGAACTGGATAGTTTACCACATAACACTACTAGAGAACAGACTTTAGAACAATGTCCCAATTTGGCTTTAGCCTCGGCATTTTTTGCTCCCGGGACTAGAGAGGCCTTTAGTCTCGGTTGGTGTCTTTACTCCCGGTTGGAGCCACCAACCGGGACTAAAAGTCCTTCAACCTTTAGTCCCGGTTGATAATACCAACCCAGACTAAAGGTAGACCCTTTAGTCCCGGTTGATAACACCAACCCGGACTAAAGGACCCTTTAGTCCCGGTTAGTAACACCAACTGGTAACACCAACCGGGACTAAAGGTCCCCCGATGGGTTTATTCAAAAGAAAAGCATCCCATCCATTGTTAGATGTGTTGTGTAGGTGGGGTGATAAGCTATGCGCGAGGCAGTGCATGCGGTCTTAGGTTCGAATCTCACGGGGCGCAGCGGTGGGAGGCATTATTTTTTTTTAAAGCTGGGAGAATCTTTAATCCCGGTTGTGACAAACCAGGACTAAAAAACAACACCTTTAATCCCGGATTGCTAGTCCTGGTTGGGAAACCGGGAGTAAAGCTAGTTCTCAACCGGAACTAGATCTCATTTCTGTAGTAGTGTAAATGTGGTATTCGTGGGTTCTTATTTGAAAGTGTGACCTGAGACATGGTCAAATGTGAGATACACTTCGTCCGGTTACGAATACGCTTCTTTCTTTTGTTTTTTTAATAATAATGCAAGCATGTAATTTAAGATTCAAACTATCTTTGATCAACGGTTATATATTCTCTAAAATCTTTTCGATCATACCTTATAAATTTTGTATTTATCGATTCTTACTGGAAAATAAACTTTCATGATATCAATTTTATGGTCAAGAACATCTACCTATTATATTAATATTTAACAAAAAAAATCTCCACTTGACCTCAGGGCCCAGAAATAACCATATTAATCGAAATATAAAAATAAACCACCATTGTCATTATAAAAAAGTTAATCCGTGATACCCCTATAACTATCATATATTATTACCCTCAATTTCATTACGAAAAAGTTAATACAAAGTAACCCTATACCTACAAATAAATTGCCTCAATCGCTGCCATTATAAAAAGTTAATCTAAATACCTCTACTTATAAACTCATTATGAGTATTACAAAATAAGCAAAAAAAAAAAAAAACCTTCAATACATGATTCTCTTAACATCGACCTCTTGTGCACGATCACTATTTTGTGTACATAAAATTAACCTCATCAAAGTTTTAGTATGTGTTACATCTACTCCATCATTCATTACAAATTATAAGTCATTTTAGCTTTTCTAAATACATAGTTTTGTTATACACCAAGATATATGATATGTCAAGCTACATAACAAAAGCTATATACCTAAAAGATTCAAAACAACTTATAATTTGCAACGGTGAGCGTAATGTTTAAGATTCATATATTTGTATATGCACACCTATACACTTACTTATGAAAAATATATTCTAACAAATGACAAATAAACAATAAAAGGATGCACAAAACTAAAAGGACAAGTCTTACTAAGAAAAGACACTGTTTGAACTGATGGTACATGTTCATATGTTTCCAGAATGACGACACTTGTGCACTAAATTTTTAGTGCCTAATCTAGGTGGACGTCCAATTAAATCTATCATATTTAGAATGACACAGTCAGCAACAGTAAATTTTGACCATGGATTTCTCTTTTTCATCATATTGTCAATAGATACAAGATAAACATTGTCTTAAAAGTATTTTTTGGATATTATTCTATTGGAGCAAAGGACATAATAACTTATTTTTTGAAACAAAGCACATAATAATTTAACTAGTTATTAGAAAAAATGTAAAATTTAACTTTATCTAAGCAAATACACCTTACATTGATGGACAAAGGGAGTACTTATATCCTGGCAAGTGGAAGAACAGCGGCCTCTGAAGAAAACATTTGACTACTCCTCCTTTAAACTATGTTTTATTAGTGAGCAATAAAAGGGAAGCAAGCTAAAGAATACTATAATGAAGTTTATCCAGTTTCAGTGACCAGTATACACTTGAATTATCCAATGCAAAATACCTTTATGTAGCCACTAGATATTTAGAGTAAAATACTAATTCGGCTGAAAGACAAATAATATATATATAAGTAACTTTTCAACTTTGAACCGCCCACACAACAGATGGTCGTGAATGTAACATATATGGCCGCTGCACTGCACTAACCTGACACACCGCAAGCAAAAGGTAGCGTCTCCAGTTCTCGTTGTCCTCGATGCTGTAGGCTGTAATGCCGTCCTGGCCGCCGAGGTGCAGCAGCAGGACGGGCGCCCACAGCGTGTCCAGGTGGTACCTGGCCAGCGCCTCCTCCTTGTGCTGGTTGAAGAGGGTGGCCAGGGCGTAGACCGCCACGACGTCGCCGCCCTGGTAGGCCAGCCAGATGAGGGCCCTGAACCAGTGCGGGACGCGGAGCTTGCGGACGATGGCGGCGGCGAAGAGGAAGTACTGGAAGAAGAGGCTGGCCAGGACAAGCAGCCGCAGCTGCCAGTCCTCCCACCATTGCACGGCTGCTGAGAAGCTCATGGCCGTTCCCAACTCTCAGCTCTCTAGTGCTGCTTGCCGTTTCCTCCCCGCTCTCTCTCTCTCTCTATATATACTACAAGGAGGTATCGGATGATGGCTTCTGTCACACGTGCTCCGAGCTAGCTGTGCCTGCCGTGTTGTGGTACTTGTTCCTGAGTGCATGCGGCTCTTTTGTAAGATGTACATGTCTCTTTTTTGTTTTACAAGACTTGTTTTTCGATACTCAAGGCATCAGCCGAGCTTTAAACAAAGAAGCTTAACAAGGCTCTCATAGAGCACAGAAATTTTCAGACACTTCTTTTAACATACGACGTGGCTAGCGCCCTGATGTCCGGACGGACGCACGTGTCCGGACGCCCGCGCAGACCGCATCCGTCCAGCTCACTCGGACTCACACGTGCACCTCACCCTCGACGTTGCGCCCACCGCTCCTTGCGTCCGGATGGACGGCCCCGCAGCCCGCCCCGCCTTGCAGCGCACCCTGCCCCCCGCTCCTTCCCCCGCGTGGGCGGGACCTGAGAGCCGGCCTCTAGCTCGCTGTGCCCTCGTCCACTGGTCCCCAGCTCGCCACGCCCCATCCCCGGCGCCTGGGCCATGCGCCCATCACTCAATGTGCCTCGGTGAAACACTTGCAACATGAAACACTTGGATACAATATACGTTAGACATATGAAACATTTGAAATATACTGTTGCAACATATGTGTAAAACATATGCAACATCCAGATAAAACACTTGCAACATGTGGGTAAAATATATGCAACATCCAGATAAAACACTTTGCAATATGTGGGTGAAACATATATAACATCCAGATAAAACACTTGCTGCAACACGTGTCTGAAACAGATAAAACATTTTTTCAAAACGCTTGCAACATACCACTGAAAACACTTGTAAAAATATGCAACATGTGCAACATCCTGATCTACTTTTACAACATCCATGTGTAATAATTGCAACATACCTCTGAAACATCTGAAGCACTTGAAACATACATTTGCATCATAGGGCAGGGGAAGGCCAGAGCCGGTCGATTCCGGTCGTCGGGGTGGGATCCGACAGCGAGCGGCGATGAGCGAGCACCACCCACGCTCGTGGGTGCCCTTGGCTCAGCCAGAGAAGACATGAGGCGCCATGGCACATGCGCCCCAGTGGCGCGCCCGACGACGACGGACGCCGAGGGAGCGAGCGGCGCAGGGAGCGAGGGCGTGCGGGCAACCAGTGATCGGGGGAAGGGCACGGCACAGTAGCCCGACGAGTGCGCGGTGGGGGAAGATGGCGGACGGATGAGCGACCACGCTGCTTCGGGCTACCCGGATAAGCATACGAGGGAACGGGGATTTGTATTTTTGTTTCTGAGAGAGATGGACCCGCTCCTATGGAGCCACATCCGGACAGGAGTTACGGATGGACGCCCGTGTTGAATCATTATCGTTTAATAAATTGCCTGTAGGGGCCTAAAAGCCCCTCCAGTTTCTAAAAGAAGGCTTCAGCCTAGCTAGGATCATTGTATAGTTTGGTTCAAAAAAAAAGGGGCCGGCGTATTTCGTTAATTTTCTCTTCAATTTAAACTAAATTTAAGTGACCTTGTGTTGTGCAGGACCTTGGGATATAGGAATTTAATTACTGAAAGGGTTGATTTGTTAATCCGATCACCCCTTGCATAGAAGGGTTCGGGGCTCTACTGTATATATGCTTGCCCCAAGTCACATTATTGGAATTGAGAGGTTCCGTATTAAAGGAGCTTTTAATTAAGTACGATTCTAAGTAAATGATGATGATGATTATGATGGCAAACAACCATTTAGCACCCCGACATACACTAGAGCAACTAACTCGAGGCTTTACTAACACGAAAAGCACTCTAATTTCCATATTCATAGCTTTCGCACAAAGGGCTTGCCACACTACGCAAGTAATTCTACCCCAGCTGGCTGAATGGAATATATTCTTAAAAGAAATGCTTTACATAAGAATGTCAAAATCTTTGTCCTGACAGTGGGATCAGATGCATCATCCACATCCTTCAGGCCTCGTTTGTTTAGGGTGGATTGAGGGCGGGAAATAATCCGGCTGATCATTGCTACTATAAATAGACCTGTCATTCCATCGGGAACCGTTCCAGGCGTCCATTTCCAAGTAAACCAACGGGCCCTCAATGTGAAACCACATCATAATTTTATCTTTTTTTTTACAAACATGCAAGAGAGCCGTCGATCATGTTATTATATTTAAAAAGAAGTTGAAACCTAGAGAGGGCAGAACACCATATATAGCAATGGGACACTAGAGATTTGAGCAACGATAATAAGAAGCAAAAAATGGGCACAATAACGACAGAAAAACCACTAAGGGCGTCTCTTGCATAGTACTTACTACTATCTAACTTCTTATTTTTTAATTTTTTTAGGCTTCATGTTAGCCAGCGATTTGTAAAGGCTGTTGGGGATGTCCTAAGGGTAGGTTTGGATGCCTGTCCATGGGCCATGCATGGTAGCCCTGTCAAAACACGGTTGCTCACTGCGGGCTAGCCATACTTGGGCTTACCTTGGCACTAGTGCTCACAGGCTAGTTAAATTTATGCCCCAAAAAAGTGCGCTCCAATCGTGGGTAGGGGCAGCAAAATCGTCTGCCAATATTTGCCCGGCCTAGGTGTACGTGGATGGGTTTTAAAACTTCCGGTGGGTTGTCATCTTTCAATTCGAAAATGGCATAGGCTCGAAAAAACGCTCGTGCCCATAAATCTTGGGCGTGTCGTTGTCATCCAAAGGTAAGGTGCTTATATTCATTAGCCAGGCTAAATTTGGTCATGAAATTGGTGGCCATGGTTTTGGCTAACTTTAGCTAGCACAATAAACTAACATGGTTCAATGAGAGCGCTGCCAATGGTGCTATATATACTTTGGTATTGTGAACATAACATTTATTGTCATGGTCTATATTCTGTTTTCCTAACCAAGAAATTACTATGTTAATAATGATTTTGACATTTTCTAAAAAAAAAAAAATCTCACCATGTTTGATGTTGTGTTACCCTCCGAAATATTTAAGTTTTTGATGTAAATGCCAAAGGGCCTCTAGTCCAACAGTTAGAGGGTCCCGACGGCACTCCTCAGGTCCTGGGTTCGACTGCTCGTGGGAGCAAATTTTAGGCTGAGGTTAAAAAAATCCCCTCGTCCCACGCCAAAGCACAGGTCTAAGGACCGGCCCGTTCTCACAGGGCGACGGTGCCGCTGTGTAAGGGTGGGGCAGGGGTTTGGAGGTTTTCTGGGCCTGCGTGAGAAGATCTTCTTCTTAATGCAATGCCTGGGGGTGGTCATACCCTCGCAGGTCTAGTTTTTAATGTAAATACAAACACAAATAAAACAATATGTTTTCTCAAATACTTATTTAGTTTTCTCAAATATTTGAAATCATTATTAATCTAGTTAAATAGCAATGAATTTCATTAAAGAGAATGTTATTTCTAAATTAATTTATGAATTATAGATATAGTTTTCTTGCTACACTCATGCAGTTGCATTTGAGTTTTTTGGTGAATTCGAAGTGATATACTCTCTTCGTCCAAAAAAATATATAGTTTTAGCTATGTATCTAGACAAGCACTTATCTTGATGCATAGCTAGAAATACATCTATTTTGGGATGGAGGCAGTATTACCTAAGAGCAACTCCAACGGAATCGATATTGCCTGCTGCGAACCACAATTTGATGATTCTAGCGACAAAACCTCCTCCAACAATATCTCTTTCTGGTTCTCTATTTTCCCCCATCCGCTATCCCCGCATTTGCGGAAGATTTCCCGAGCAGACGCCGCTCGCTATCCTCAGCCCACAAAGAGTTTACCGCGATCGCGAGTGTATCCCTCTCCCGCGTGCTCCTTCCTCTTCCCATGCGTGCCGCTCACCCTCTCTCCCATGCGTGTCTGTACTTACCCGATATTCCCGCATTCGAGCTCACTGATAGCACACCCTCCTGATTCGAATCGGCCATCTACCCATGGGGAACCCCAATTGCTAGCGTTTAACCGTTGCCCATACTCCCATCGATGGATGACTAGTTCCATGTTCAATTCAGCAAGCCGCAGGTGGCAGCAGGAGGAGCAACCATCCATTGTCAGCTTTTCTGGCCTAACCTCACTCAGTAAGGTGAACCTTGCCAGCGCAGGTCAACCAGATCAACTCATCCAAGCTAGCAAGGGAAATCCTTGCTTGCATGGATAATGAGGCACGTGGGCAACGAATATAAACATATCACCTATTCCAACTTCTTCACTGACAATGTGAGGCAAGTTCTGGCTAGAATCCAAGATGCCCAAGAGAGGGTTAAATTAGGCTAATCTAAAATTCTGGAAAAATTAAAAGCTATCACTTAGTCCATTTCACTTCTTATGCCTAATAGTGTTTTCTATCCTGCCCCTCAAAGTTTGCAACGAACTTCCAGCCCTATGCTAGAATGGCAATCCTAGCAATGTAGATACATGAATGTAAATTGCTCAAATGTAAAGTAGAAGGGTTAGGAACATGGTGATATTTTCCTAAGGTATCGGAGAGTCGGCACTCTCTACTAGTCCTTGTTGGAGCACCTGTACAAGGGTATAGCTCCCCTTGATTCGCGCAAGGACCAAATGCTCTCTTTGGGTTGATTCTTCGCGCACTCCGGCATGCTGAATCACCGACAACCGTTTATACCATGAGTTGGGTCTCTTACGAAGTTCCCAATCACACCAAGCCGTCTACGTGATGCCGATCACTAAAAGTAATAAGCACAAACTCCCACCAGACCTAAACAAGCCTAATAAGGAAGGTGGATGCACACATTCTACTCCCTATGCACTAATGAAGTCCTCTATTAAAGAATGCATACTTTTTAGAATAACTTTAAGACATCCTCTGTCTCCTTCCTAGTTGTTAAGAATATAGATTTTGGTTAAAAATACTCTCCAACAAGTTCTTTAATTGGTTACTAAAATATAATCATCCTATTACAGATTTCTCGCCGGCTAGACTCTCTAAAGTGTGCACAAGATATAAAAAAAACTATTGGAAAGTGAAAAGATATAGAAAACAATTTTTATTCAAATGACTCCAAATGATGATTTAGAGAGTGAGTTTTAGAAATACTATTGAAGATGATATTAGAGCAACTCCAAAAGATTCTTTATATCTTGGAAAAATACCTTCCAACATTCTCTTTAAATGGATCTTTAAATATAGACATATCTTCTATTCTTTGGATTTCTCGTTAGATAAAGATGGAGAATGAGGATGAATCTCTAGAGTACGCATAAGATATAGAAAAACTTTTGGAGAGTATAAAGATATAGTAAAACTATTTTTACTTAATTAACTCTCTAAATGATAATTTAGAGAGTAAATTTTAGAAAGACTCTTTAAGATGCTCTTAGAGAAACACTTTTTGTGGAGCCTATAAACAGAAGATTTAGAATCCAAATTTTAGAGTATCTTGAAGGTGGTCTAAGTTGGAACTTAGAACGACACTACAAAATTCGTGAAAGTGCAAGAAAATATTTTCGTACGTGTTCACGGGCTGAGTTGGGCTGCTAGCGCCTGGAGGCCTGGTCGAGGGCACGCGTGGCCCGATTCACTGCCAGTGCTGGGCTGCTGGCCTCGCTGCTGCATTGCTCAAACTGCCAGTGCTGGGCTGCTGCGGGAGCGCGTTGGGATTGGCATGGGCCCCTTTCGACGCCAATGTTCATTCGTTTCCACCGTGTGCGTAGGAACTTGGCCGTGTGGGGCCAGAGGTTCAACAACAAAGGAGAATAGCTGAATAGGCGTCAATTTTTTTCTCATGCGACATGCACATGCCAGATGTCCTTTTTATTACACGAAAAATGTATAAATCTTGGTTTCATATGTTTGTTCACGTGAAGAATTTAACTATAATTTTCCAATAACATATGCTATTTAGAATTTAAGTGTACTTCTACCATTTTAGTCGGAACTACACAAAATTTGTAATACTCCATCCATTATAAATTATAAGATGGTTTGACCTTTCTAGATACTAGATGATATCCCACGCGTTGCTGCGGGAATCATGTTACGTTATATATAAGGAGAATTGACCAACAACACCGTAATACGTTGGTATAGGATTTGAGAGATAAATCGCTTGGTCCTGAGGCGATGATGGAGGCTAGAGCACAGGTATCACTGTATCAACATGCTGCAACGTCCACATCCAATGGATACAATACCCACGAGTAGAATTGCCATCTCTAGTTCTAGGTGGGTTGCCGATTCTAGAACTTCACGGGAGGCGTTTCTTGGTTTCCAAGGCAAATCTAGCAAAACCGGTCAGGACGATTTGGAAACCGGCTGACCGGTTTTGTTGATTTTGCTGCAATTTGATCGTCGAGCGATCCTCGTGAGATCCAAACATGCTAACTCTTTAGATGTGGGATCAGATTTGTGGCAACAATAGACTGATAGGATTAGTGTTTCGTGTCACCAACTAGTAAATTTGTCTCATGTGTATGGAGTCGGAATGGCTTAGTACTCATAGACTCGGAATTTATACTGGTTTAGGCAATATGACCTACGTCTAGTGTGGGTTCAATTGAGCACAAGCTAAGGGTTAAATGGTTGTACTAAAGGCTACAAATGGAAGAGAGACACGAATCATGAGTAGCATGTATATATATATATATATATATATATATATATATATATATATATATATATATATATATATATATATATATATATATATATATATATATATATATATATGCCTCTACGTGAGTATATGCATGCGTTTCCGGCCGTGAGGCATCCTTTGCCTCGCCTTATTATATATATACATAATATCCGGAAAGAGAGGGCCGGGGTTACAAAAGGTGTTGAGCCCCACAAATTGATCGGAGGGGTGTATCCCCTTGATGGTATCGCCGGTCCTCCTCCCTGCCGCCGTGGCATTATACAGTGGAGTGGCAGAAAGAACGGATCCTTCCTCGTGAGATCCATTGACTCTAGGAGGGACTTCTGCTATAGTGGCAGAAAGAACGAGGAGCAAATGTTGTTTTCTGAAGCGTTCATCCCTGGTGCCGAAAGCCAAATAGACCACAACTGACCCAACATGGCTTCAAAATGAGAAGTCTTCCTTGAACAACGCTTTTAGATACTACTTACACACGAATTCGCTAGGGGGCCAGAGGAGGCTTGATTTGAAGACAAAGAAGAGCATATAAATTAAAAAACACCAATGGTACTGGTACAAGAGGAGCTCTCTGCTGTTCCATGTTTATTTATTTAATTATTATTAAAAGAGACAGCAAATGATGTTTTGTAACGCTTCAGCTTTTCATGTGCTTCATACACTGGTTCAGAAGCCATGTGAATTGAAGCAGCAACATCAACATTTCATTCTAAAACCAGCATACAAGGGACCATAACTAAACGTACCTACTGGGACTTGTTTTCTGTGGTGCTCTCGTTCAGCCTTCGAATAGCTCTTGCAGCATTCCTTCCAGCTCCTGGGGAATGAATTTTGGGGTGGTAACATTGTTATCCTCTATGAATTTTGTGTAGCCTGTCATGATTTTCTCGGTGATGGCTTTGCGCAGTCTCTTCATTAGCTCAGGATCCGGGACCTTCCACAGCTTTTGGGCAGCATAAGTTTTGCGAAATACAGACTCAAACTTAGTCAATGGGAAGGCTTTCACTCTCCTGTAGAAAGGAGGCATAGGATTGAACAAACATGACAACACCGATGCCCAGGATACTTGTAGATAGCTCTCCATGTAGCCCTCAACTCGAGTGATAGATTCCACCTTGAGTTCCATGAAAGACATGCATGATCGACTGCTGGCGATGAAACAGCATTGAAATCGAGGAAAGACCAAATTGGTCGGACCTGCTGCCATATGAAATACGAGTTGTTGAGCAGGAATAAGGACTTGAGGCTCTCATCTGTGAATGATTCTGGCTTGTTGGTGAGCTTTTCTTCCAGATAGGACGACATCTCCACGATGAGGCTGCTCAGAGGTGGCACGTATCCAATTCCGATCCGAGGCTCATATGAAGGAAACAGGGTACCTCTGAAACGTAGATCAGGGGATAAACATCTTACTTAGATAGAGAAACTGGTTTCTCTACTTCGCCTTGGCGCAGTTGCGCCACAGCCGCGTAGACGCCGGTGTCGTGGGAGCTCGGCGCGGTGGAGTCCAGCGTAGTGGTGGCGATGCAGAGGCGACGGTGACGCGAGGTGCCGCCGTCCGGTGGTGACGACGAAGTCATTGGGTCTTCCCGTCGTTGGCAGCACCCTCTTTAGATCGGGTTAGGTTTTGCTATTGGTGGGTCACAGCGGCTCAAGTCAACCTCGTAGTTAGAGCCCTGGTCCTCACCTCTCTTTATAGTGTTGTGCGACGGGGATCCACCAACCATGGAGTGGTTGTTCGCCCCCGATCAGAGCGTTGATCCAAGGGCCCATTTGGCCGTTGGGTCAATTGGTGGAAATCAAACTAACATTCTCCCCCTTGATCTCACACCATCTTTCAATTTCATATCATTTACTTTTGTTCATTCCATTACAGATTAACGCATAGAGCATGTTTCATCGTCATGGTCAATTGTCGATAGATTTAACAACTACAACACACCACTCTGTTCTGAAATAGATACTTAACTTTGGGCCTTCTTTTGTTCAGGAATTATAGGCTTTTTCTTAAACCCATGCCGGCTACATGTTCTCTGAACACGTTGGGTGGTAAGCCTTTTGTAAGCGGATCCACGAGCATCTTTTCGGTACTTATATGCTCAAGACTTATGACATGATCCTGGACTTTATCTTTCACAACATAATACTTTATGTCAATGTGTTTGGCAGCACCACTTGACTTATTGTTGTGAGCATACTGTACTGCCGGATTATTATCGCAGTATAACTTAATTGGTCTATATATGTCGTCAACCACCTTCAAACCGGGTATGAACTTCTTTAGTCAGTTCATCTGCCCCGTTGCCTTATAACACGCTACAAACTCGGCATACATTGTGGACGATGTAGTGATGGTTTGCTTTGAGCTTTTCCATAAAATAGCTCCCCCTACGAGAGTGAATACATATCCAGACGTGTATTTTCTATCATCTCCCGCATAATCAGAATCTGAATATCTCACTATATGGAGTGAATCTGATCTTTTATACGTCATCATGAGTCTTTTCGTTCCTTGCAAATAACGCAAGACTTTTTTTTACTAATTTCCAATGTTCTGTTCTACGATTGCTCTGGAATTTGTCAAGTAACCCGGTAACAAATGCCAAGTCAGGGCGCGTACATACTTGAGCATATTGCAAGCTTCCGACAGCTGAAGCATATGGAACCGTTTTTATTTGATCAATCTCATACTTATTCCTGGGGCATTGAAAATCCCCATATCTGTCACCCTTGACTATAGGAGCAGGTGAGGGATTACATTTGTGCACATTGAATTTTTTTAAGATTTTTTCTATGTATGCCTTTTGTGACAGTCCTAATATCCCTTTACTTCTATCTCGGTGAATCTCGATCCCTAGAACGAACGAAGCTTCACCAAAATCTTTCATATCAAATTTTGAGGACAAAAACTTCTTTGTCTCCAGTAGTAGACTGACATCACTACTATCAAGTAAGATATCATCCACATACAGGATATCGAAGATAAACTTCCCATTCTTAAATTTTGCATAGACACAATTGTCCTCTACATTCTCTTTAAACCCAAAATTTCTTATTGTTTGATCAAACTTCAAGTACCACTGTCTTGAAGCTTGTTTTAATCCATAAATGGATTTCTTTAGACGACATCACATTCGTTCTTTTCCTTCCATGATAAAACCTTTCGGTTGTGCCATGTAAACATTTTCCTCCAAGTTCCTGTTGAGAAATGCCGTCTGTACATCCATCTGATGTAATTCTAAATCGTAATGTGCCACTAATGCCATTATGATTATGAAGGAATCCTTATATGAGACTGGAGAAAATGTCTCATTGTAATCAATCCCTTCTCTTTGCGTAAAGCCTTTTACCACAAGTCGCGCTTTATATCTCTCTATATTCCCTTGAGAGTCAAGTTTTGTTTTGTAGACCCATTTACAACCTACTGTTTTGGCTTCTTTTGGAATTATTTTCAAGTCCCAAACTTTATTGGCATTCATAGATTTCATTTCATCTTCCATAGACTCAAGCCACTTTGATGAATGATCACTTCTTATGGCTTCTTCAAATGAGGTGGGATCATCCTCCATTTGAAATTCCTCAGTGTTGTATACTTCATAGTCACCAGGAATAACTGATTTTCTAACTCTTTGAGACCTTCTAGGGGCCTCCACATTTGGCACATATTCTATTTAAGGCTGTTGTTGCTCCCCCTCATGTATGGCAATAGGTTCTACAGGATCCTAAAGAACAGGTTCCTTATCGTCATTCATTGTTGCCATAGGCGGAATAACAACAAGTGCTGGCACCACAGTATCTTGCACTATCGGTGCAGCGACAGCAGGTAGTGAGAAAAATGGCTCATGAATCATTGGAGTGGGCGTATACACCCACTTCTCTTCAAGGTCAATTTCTCGAGCTACGATCCTCCCCCTCATCATTTCATCCTCTAGGAAGACAGCGTGTCTCATTTCCATAAACTTTGTATGTCTGTCTAGATAGTAGAAACAAAAACCTTTTGACTTTTCTGGGTAGCCAATGAAGTGGCAACTTACTGTTTTGGGATCTAGCTTTCCAATATTTAGGTTAAATACTTTAGCCTCAGCAGGACTCCCCCCCACACATAAGTGGTTTAGTGAGGGTACTCTTTCTGTCCACAACTCATACGGTGTTTTGGGCACCGACTTACATGGTACTCTATTGAGAATATGAATGGCGGTTTTTAACGCCTCCATCCATAGGCTCAACGGTAAGGTGGAGTAACTTATTATACTGCGCACCATATCCATCAGGGTATGATTGCGTCTTTCAGCTACTCCATTCTGCTGAGGTTCGCCCGGTGTAGAATACTGGGTTACTATGCCATTCTCCTGTAAGAACCTTGTAAAAGGTCCAGTAACTTGGCCATATAGGGTATGCCGACTGTAGTACTCCCCCCATGGTCGGACATGACTATCTTAATCTTTAAATTGTGTTGGTTTTCAATTTCTGCCTTAAATATGTTAAATTTATCCGATGCTTCTCTTCTTTCTTTGATTGGATAAATGCAGCCATAACGGGAGTAATCATCTGTGAATGTTACGAACGAATCATAACCATCCATACTCTTTACAAGAAACGGACCACAGATGTCTGTGTGAATAATCTATAAAATTCCTGTGCTTCGTTTGACATCTTTCTTAATTTTCTTTACATACTTTCCTTTTATGCATTCTCTGCATTGTTCTAAATCTAAGAACTCTAATAGAGGAAGAATATCATTCTTAACTAGTTTTTTTATTCCCCCCTTGAAATATGGTCTAAACAATAGTGCCATAATTTCGACGACGCATCGTAAGCTCTCTTTCATTTTCTGTTTACATCCGCAGACGAGGATACATTCTCATTGTCGCATCCAACGTTCCCATCATCGCATACAACATTCACATCATCACGTAGTGATAACAAATAGTATGTGCTTTCTTATGCCACCATTTCCAGAGTACCTCTCTATCACCAGCTACTCTATCAGCTGGGTAGCATGTGTCTTTGAAGAGCTAGTGAACTGACTCTTTATTTTATCGAGGTATTCGGTGACCGTGTCACACTTTGGGATTGAGCCCACAATTGTAGGCTCAATCGTGTTCTTTATCACAGCCAAACATTTCTTGTTGGCAGTGACCCACTTCCTGTGCTCAAGGTCATAGGACATCTTTTGGGATTCAAAATCCCTCTCTCTAGTTACCCAAGCGGCATCAGCCTTGTTTGTCTCCCTCACCAGTGCCACAGGCTCAGTGGGACACGGTGAGGTGACTACTCAGTCCACCTCAGCCAAGATGAAGGCCAGGTCAATCTTTTCCTTCCACTCTGTGTGGTTGTCATCTTTGAGAGTGGGGATCTCTTTGATACAACCCATCAAGTTGTATCCGCCTTAAAACACAATTCATATAGAGTGAGAACATAAATAATAACAACAATTGCATGCCTTGATTCCAACGTTGGTCAAAATTAAAACATACAACTGTTCTTATACACTAATTCTACATCACCTTTGGGCAGAAATAGAATTAATGCATAAAATCATTAAAATTACGATATTGTTATTAACAACGTTGGTTAGAAAATAACAACATCATAATCATATCAAAATATCTTTTTCTCCAATTAAATATCACGTTGGTTCAAAATAACCAGAGAATAAACTATTTCTTTAGCAGCGGAAACTTAAACATGATAGGTGAATTTTACCCACAGGAAAATTCCTCTTCGCTATTTCCTTTGAGCCATTAATCTATTTCCAGGAAATAAACATTTACTGGAAAAAGAAAAAAAAAACTGATTCAATACTTCACTGTACGTTCGGCCCAGCAGCAAAAGTTGGCCCGGCCTGCTCTGCTTTCGCGCGCGCTGTGCCTCCCAGGCCGCAACCTGGGCCTGGGCCACCAAAGCCGCGTGCGCCTGTCTGGGCCGATCGTTGGCCCGATCGATCTGCGTCATCCGTTCTAATCCGATGGCTGAGCGTGCTTCTCGCGGGAACAAAACCAGCGCGTGGCTGCCTCCCCCGGAACCCTATCATCATTTCTCTTCTCCCCTTCTCTCTCTTAGCCTCGCGAGCGACAGAGCACAACCGAGCTCATGGCGGACGCGACGTAGGGGATGGTGGCTCTGCCGTGGCACCCCTCGCCAGCGCACGCGTGCGGCCGGAGCCGCGCGCGGCACCGTCGAGCGGCACCACGGTGGTGCCATTTTGGCCTGAGCCCGAGGCGGAGATCATGCGCAGCGGTTCTCCCGCCGCAGCGGCTGGGGTTGGCTTCCCGCGCGGCGTCCATGCGACGGCCGGTGGTGGA